CTTACTGGGTGAAAGATCACTGGACGTCGGCGAGATATTCTCCAGATTATATACGTTTGGCGCTAACAAATTTTGCAAGTAGTTCGCTTTTTCCTTGCCTTTTGCCATGAAGTTACGAATATGACTTGTAATTTCACGCAAACGAAGATAAAAATATTTCGCTTCGGTCACCCTGTCGATTCCATGATAATTCAGCGAAAGCTAGGTATTTATTCGTTTTGATTTTTCGTTCAATTCCGCAAATGAATGCTCATGAGCTAAGATCCAATGTCCGATCAATGTCTCATAATACCGACAATAGCCATCTCCATGATCACACAGACATCGTCGCTATTACGGAAACATTGCACTTCGGTGGTCGCATTCATGTTCCCTCTGTATTCACAATTCTGCATCGACGAAACTATACTCTTCTCGCCACGAAGTCGACTGAGATCTTTTCTCAAAATTTTTACTCTGGAGAGCAATGGTGTTGAAAATCTTTACACTGGAAGGGAAATGACGTCGAAAAGAAAGGGGGTCCCGAAAGAATGGGGGTCGCTTATAGTTTCCGAGATATTTGATTTTAAAGTTTTGGAATTTTTATTATCCTGGAATTAAATTCAAGATGTCATAAGCTGACGTTATTTATAGTATAATCCAAACAGTTAATCCAAACATAACGTATATATAGAAATATAGGAAACAGTATATATAAGCGGGAGAAGAGCTCCGCCCATCCCTCGCACTGCCACCCAAAAAAATCCTAACCTAATCTAACTTATTGCCTATCTTTATATATTGTTGAGCGATATTGAAAAGATATTTTTAAAAGCCACAACACCTAATTATATGCAAATATTATAATAAGTTGAGCCAGGTGATAGATCTTAAGAGAACTTTTTTCAACAATGTCCAAAAATATATAAATATGTAATGAGTTAGATTAGATTAGGATTTGTTTGGGGAGGGGTGGAATCCTTCTCCCGCTTATATGTACAGTTTCCTATATATAAAATGAATGAAAACTGCTTGTCTACTTCAAATATACTTCAACGTACAATTATAAAACTTTCAAGTCAAATATCTCAGAAACTTTAAGCGAACCCTATACAGGGTGTCCCATTTTAATGTCCCTCCCCAAATAACTCTTCAGTATTGAAGTTTCAAGGAAAATGATCTGAATGAAAGTTGTAGGGATTTAAGTGAGCTACCTCATGATGATCTTGACCTCTATTTTCAAGGTCATTTGAAGATCAACTTGCATTTTTTAAATGGGAATCCTTATTTTTTATTACGTTGCTTTTCTACTAGTTAATTTGAACAACTTTTGTCTAAAACATTTTTTTATTTGTCTAATATTTTTTTTAGATACTTCAGGAAAATTTGATAACTTTTTTAAAATTTAACTTACGATATTTTGCTAATTATTTGTTGGAAGAAAAAGTGATACTAGACTTTCTTGCTTTATTTAATCTCAAGAATAAATTGTTACAATAGCGTCTTGAGTTTTGTTAATTTGATGATTTTGAAATTTCTAAAAATCTGTAAATTAACAAAAGTCAAGGCGCTATTGTAACAATATATTCTTGAGACTAAATAAAGCAAGAAAGTCTAGTACCACTTTTTCTTCCGACAAATAGTTAGCGAAGAGATATCGTAAGTTGAATATTGAAAAGTTATCAAGTTTTCCTCAAATATCTAAAAAAATATTAGACAAATAAAATAATATTTTAGACAAAAGTTGTTCAAATTACCTACTAGAAAAAAACAGTGTAATAAAAAATAAGGGTTCCCATTTAAAAAACGCAAGTTGACCTTCAAATGACCTTGAAAATAGAGGTCAAGGTCATCATGAGGTAGCTCACTTAAATCCCTACTTTTATTCAGATCAGTTTCCTTGAAACTTCAATACTGAAGAATTATTTGGGGTAGGACATTAAAATGGGACATCCTGTATAATTGTATTAGGAAAAGTCACTCAGAATTTCATCCTTTATAACATATTTCAAAATGAAAAAAATCGGTGATGTGTACCCTTCTCTATATACAGGGTGCACGATTTATCTGAAGACATTGAAATATCTCGAGAACTATGCATTGGATAAAAGAAAGTGGTTAATGAAAGTTGTTAGCCTCGAAGGGGGACATCCAATGATACCAAACTCGACCTCCCACCCCACCCCCTGGGGGTGGGGGTTGGGGGCAACTTTGAAATCTTAAATAGAAACCTCCATTTTTTATTGCAGATACGGATTCTACGCCACAAAATACGTAAATTTTGTCCGAAACTTTTTTTTTATTCATGATAGATGGCGCTGTAATCGCAAAAAATTATATTTTCCGCAATTCTCCAGAAATGATCATTGGATTGAGAAATAAAAAATACCTGTTCAATATTTTTAAAGAACGTAATAAAAGTTATTCCCCCCCATCCTCTCGGGGTAGGGTGAGTGATAACGTTCAAATCTCAAATGGGAACCCACATTTTTCATTGCAGAATTTGCCTTTTATAATAAGCCATAGTTCGCCATACACCCACAGTGGCGCGTCGAGCAGTTCCCTCTTCGATTCGGGTTCCCATTTGAGATTTGAACGTTACCACCCACCCTACCCCGAGAGGATGGGGGGGAATAACTTTTATTATGTTCTTTAAAAATATTAAACAGGTATTTATTTCTCAATTCAATGATCATTTCTGGAGAATTGCGCAAAATATAATTTTTTGCGATTACAGCGCCATCTATCACGAATCAAAAAAAAGTTTCGGACAAAATTTACGTATTTTGTGGCGTAGAATCCGTATCTGAATTAAAAAATGGGGGTTTCTATTTAAGATTTCAAAGTTGCCCCCAACCCCCACCCCCAGGGGGTGGGGTGGGAGGTCGAGTTTGGTATCATTGGATGTCCCCCTTCGAGACTAACAACTTTCATTAACCACTTTTTTTATCCAATGCATAGTTCTCGAGATATTTCAATGTCTTCAGATAAATCGTGCACCCTGTATTTACCGTAACAATATCAAAATAGATTTTTTTTATTTATTACGTCTGCAGTCGATTTATTATATGGTTTCCTCTTCTTTTTCTCCATGTCACTCGATGTTGACGGCTGCAGATCATTCATTCTTCCTGATCACTTTTTTTCACAAAGCTAGTCACAAAACACTTTTACTGCACTACACTATACGTTACACTTCTGTCGCACAATACGCGAGAAGAGCCCTTTATATGCACCTAACATATATTTTAGATACATCTGTGGGTGCAGCTGTTTTCTAGCTCTGATATCAGCTTGCGCATGCGCACGGAGACTTCAGTGTGAGAGAAAGGGCCAGGGCACAGACTTATGCATAACGCATTATACAAAACGCATAAAAGAGTCAACCAATCAGAGTTCTTCATTTCTGTCCTGAGGAGGGAAATGAAGAAAACTAATTGGTTTATTCTCTTTTATTATATAAAAGAAGGTTATTGTATAAAAATTTTCTCATACACTATATATTTTATAGATAAAATTAACGGTTTTTTTGCAATTTAAATCATTAATAATATATTTAACAAACATTAATATATTTAAGAAACGTAGTTTTATTATTTATTAATGTTTTCTGTTCCATTTTTATGCTTACAGAATAAAAAAAAACCATACAGCAGGGATCGAACCTTAGCCGTCAGCTCGGTAGTCCGTTACCTTCGCTGCTGCGCTACGCCGCGTCGTTGAATACCCTTCTTACTAACTCATACACTTGTGTCAGCTTTTTTCTTTAGACCGTTTTTTCTCGAAAACGAAGAGGTATTGCGTCGTATACTATTACCATGAGTTATTGGTAGTCAAGTACTATTAACTCCGTAAGTTTCGTTCCAAACCGTTTCCCGGTCGATGCGTCCTCCCCTTGTGAGTTATCGCTATTGAAAGATGTTAGAAAACTGTGCTAAAATTTAGTGGCCCATTTTTTTGCAGGTGAGTGTAGATAGGAAAAAACTTTTTAATGTTCCTTGCAAGTAGCTAACTAAACCACGCTATTCAAAAGTAAACGTTTTATTCCAACAATATTTAATATTAGGTATTATAATATTTTAATATATTAAATAATATTAATATTATTCTTATAATAATATTTAATATATTTTTAATAATATTAAATTTTAATATTGTTATTTCTGTACAACTTACTAGCACTTGTCCTAACTTTTTGATATTATTTCTTATATCGGAAGTACAAGTTTAAGTAATATTTTATTTTAATTTTTTTTTTATATAGATATATAGGATATATAGAGTATAAAGAGATTTTGAATCATTAATACTATAGGAATGATGAACCATAGAATCCTTATTTCTGTTGATGCACAACCGCGCATAATACACACGACATATGAATCCAGCCTTTTTATGGTATATTTCGCTGTCAGTATATTTGATATTTTCGGGAAAATTATCAAGAATGCAATAAAATAGTGATAAAAATCACAGATTAATGTTTAATAGTCTGTTTTAAAGAGTAATAATAATTTAATAATTTAAGAGTGTTTGTGTTCTCAAAGTTAGCAAAATCTGAATAATAAAACAATTTTTGAAAAATCTGAATAATGAAACAATGTTTTGCAACTTCTTATAGTCGTTTAAATTTGCAATATTTTTTAGGTTCAAATTTTTTAAAATTTTCTACTTCCATTCCTAGTGTAAAAGTATTTTCGAAAAAAAACAACTTATGAAAATAACAGTGATGCTTTACCTTTCAAAATGATCATTAAAAAATTGTTGTTCATTTTTTTTTGTGCAGTTGTACCAATTCAAATATTTACAATTTTTCTATAAAAATTTCACTATAATCTTTTTAATCTTAAATCTTTTTTTGAAATTGACTTTAATTTTTCTGTTGCATACATATTTATATATTTTTTCACGCAAAGCATTTTATTAATTGTTAGTTATATCTCTAGTTTATATTCTATAAATAATTGTCATATGAACTATATACATAAAGTCAAATAAAATTCAAGTAGTTGAAACATCACCTTGGAAGTGAATCTCGGATTGCCATCTGAATCTGTTAATGTACCACCAAAGTGTGCGGGTAGCTGATTTTTCGGCACAATCTTAAATATAGCTGCTTGCCATTTCCGTGGATCGGCTTTATATATTTCTATTTTTGATAGTGTATATTCATTCATGAATCTCTTTGCGATGGAGAATGCAAAAGCGAAAACTGTCGGTGCTGCAATAAAATTATTTTTAAAAAGAGAGAGAAAAAGAGAGAGAGAGAGAGAGAGAGTGAGCGAAAGAGAGAAAGGGGAAGAGAGAGGACGAGGTAAAGAAGCAATTAATCTTTTCTTTTATTTAGTATATAATATCTATTTATCTTAAGATCGCAAAGCAATTATTAAATGATAATTTCTTATGTTACTTAATAATGCAATTTTAACAATAAGTGATAGCTGTGTTTCCGTTGAAATTGAACGGAAATAAATTTTCTCTTTTTTGCATGATAATTTATTATCATTATTCGTAAACAACGCAAAATTTAAAATGTACAGGATTGTCCATTTTAATCAACAATTTGAAATATTTCGTCAGATAAGCCAGATCGCAAAAAATGTTTCAAATAAAAGTTATAAGGGTCAATGTGGGATACACCTTGACTTTGACTTTGAGGTCAATTTTCAAGATTATCTGAAGGTCAATTTTGATTTTTCAAATAGGAACCACTTTTGACTTCAGATATGAAAAGAGCGGAAAATTTTACGATCAGATAGGTAAATTATGATATAAGTCCCATGATATTTAAAGGTCATTTTAAAGCCAAATACAAATTTTTTATTAATACCCTCAAACAACTTGTAACGTAAAGGAGATATTAAATAAAGTTTTCAAACGTTGTAGCAAAAATGTTTTCAAAAGTTGTAGAGGTAGAGGTTGTAGAGGTTAAAGGGGGTCACTCACTGATGACCTTGACTTCGACCTTCAGATCAAATTTGAAGGTCACTTCAAGATCTATATGATTTTTTCAAGTGAAAACTTTTAATTTTGACACCAGAGATGGCAAGTGCGGAAATTTATTTAATTCTGATATTAAGATAAGAATTTACATATTTTTTATCCTACTTTTAGCGTTACCCAGGAACAACGACATGGCCATAATAGGTTTATGTACCCTTTGGCGTGCTTTATTAACGTGAGTCCCTTTGCCTCTCACAGCTGCTATGTGATTTCCACCACATTCTCCCAAAATATGAATCATAGCAATATCATTCGGAGGATAATCAGAAATTATTTGAAAAAAATTTTTTGCAATTTTCTATTACTATTTCAATATATCAGGAAAATAATGTATCAGAATTAAGTAAATTTCCGCACTTGCCATTTCTGGTGTCAAAATTGGAAGTTTTCATTTAAAAAAATCACATAGACCTTGAAGTGACCTTAAAATTTGATCTGAAGGTCGAAGTCAAAGTCATCAGTGGGCGACTCCCTTTAACCTCTACAACTTTTATTGAAAACATTTTTTAATACCTCCTTTACGAATTGTTTGAGGGTATTCATAAAAAATACGTATTTGGCTTTAAAATGACCTTTAAATGTTATGGAACTACTATCATAATTTACCTATCTGAACGTAAAATATTCCGCTCTTTTAATTTCTGGAGTCAAAAATAGTGGTTCCTATTTGAAAAATCGAAGTTGACCTTCAGATAACTTTCAAATTTACCTCAAGGTCCAAGTTCAGATTATAAGTGTGTGTCTCCATTGACCTCTACAAATTTTATTTGAAACATTTTTCGCGATCTGGCTTACCTGACAAAATACTCCCGACTGTCGATTAAAATGGACCACTTTATATATTTTGAGGAAAGGTATTCTTAAAATATATATTAATTTCATAGAAAGTGGGTAGAATTGGTTACATACAAAATAATTTTCGGGGTCTTATTACTTATTATCTACACAACACGCATATATTCCAAATATCTTAAAAGCTTTATAAAAAGATGTCTGTTAAATGACATTTTTTATTGGTTACTGATTATACTGGATATATTTATATATACATGCATATAATAACAATTAAAAAATTACTTTAGATTTGTGAGCATCATGTACTGGGTATGGAAATAAGTTTCCGACTGTTTGAAATACGAATTAGTTTATCGTTTATTTAAACAAAAAAATACAAAATAATTTTATTCAAAGTACGCCCTATTGGAAGCGACAACTTTCTTCCATCATTCAGGTAACCATCTTTTCGTAAATCCATCTTTCAGTAAACGAATCCTCGAAGAAAAAAATCAGATTCTTTTGATTCGACCCATTCATTAAGCCATTTTTCAATACCTTTAAGTAGTTAAACAACGCGGGTTCTAATCCAATTTTCAAAATGAAATTTCAAAATCCTGACTTCATTAATGAAATTTTTTCAAACCTGACTTTATTAATGAAATATTTTCAATCCTGACTTTATTAATGAAATATTTTAATTAATAACCCACCCTCTTTATTGATACCTCCTTTATTGATACACCCCTCTCTTTATTGACACCCCCCTATTGATATCCCCTCTTTATTGATACCCTCCCTCCTCCTTAGAATTTTTTGATTCTATGGGCAAGATAGCGGCCGTGACGTCATGCATATGTCCAAAGAAAACGTGCCGGGTGTTGCTAGACTCGAACCTGGGCCCCGCGGTTGCTATCGAACGCTCGAACCTTCTAGGCCACTGTCGCCTATTACTAGTAGACGTCACGTTTACGGGTAAGATGGCGGCCGTGACATCACGCACATGTCCAGAGAAAAACGTGCCGGGATGTAAGTAAGCTCGAGAACCCGGGCCTCGCGCGGTTGCTATCGAACGCTCCAACCTCCTAAGACCACCGTCGCCTATTGCTAGTAGACATCATGTTTATGGATAAGATGGCGGCCGTGACATCACGCACATGTCCAGAGAGAAACGTGCCAGGTGTTACTAGATTCGAACCTGGGCCCTGCGGCTTAGTAGCGCATTTCGATAGTTCGATAGCGCAGTTCGAACACTCCAACCTCCTAGACCACCGTCGCCTATTGCTAGTTGATGTCTAGTGAAGGTTCTTACAGTGTGTATGATGACGTCACACATATGTCAAAAGAAATAAATAAGTTGAAACTAGGCCAGACTCAAACCCCTGACCCTTCGTTTACTGTGCCATATCGAACGTCTCTCTCTCGAACGTCTATCGAATGTCTATCAAACATCTTTCGAACGTCTACCGAACGTTTATCGAACGTCTATCGAACGTCTATCGAACGTCTCTCGAACATCTATCGAACGTATCTTGAACATCTAATAATCATCATACTGCAAATAAAGAAATGTATTTTTATCAAACACAATTATCATATAAAATCCTAAGAGATGAAAGAAAATAAGCGTGTTGGAAGAAATATCTGTATATTTAAAATAATGTTTTATTAAGCGTCGTACTTCTCTCCAAGACCACCGATTGATAATGTTTAGTACATTCTGTAAGGCATACTTTTTCATTTGATTACATCGAAAAGTATTATTCAATTTTTGCAGAGGAGGCATGTCATCGTAATCAGTGTCCACGGTCTTAACGATCATGTTGCTTCTTACATTGTCAGTCAGAAGGTGTAACAACCATTCCCGCTTCTCATGCCCCTTTACATATACAAGTTGAGATGCGACATCTTCAAGCTCACCATATATATCACCCATCACAGCTGTAGTAATAAAATATTCAGCTCTGCAGTATTTGACGGTTCCATCTTCCCATCGTAATCCATGATGATTAGCAGTTAACCAGTAGGTTCAAATTTGTCTGACCTTGTGAGCAGATGCCATGGCATCGGACTCGTGAAGATGTAGAATAGTTACATTCTTCAGTATCGCCGCTTTTTTCATAATAAATCTTTTTCCAACCATATACCCTTGTAGATCCACAAAAGTCGACACATTCATGGTGAAATATTCTTCGACACGTCCGGAAGAGAAATGTTGTTTATAGCACTTTTGCACATATTATTCTTTTCTTGTACATACTTTCCGATGTTAGTTAAGTTTGCGCATTATGTTGGTTAGCGGGCTGTATTCAACTACACGATCATGCAGAATGAGACAATATGCGGTAGTATTGGCCGGTATATTCTCCTTATATTCAATTTCTATCCACACATCCACAGTGGCACTCTTGACGGATTCACTTTGACGCGAACAATCGATAACCACGAAAGGACATAGCCGCCGAAAGTCGATAATTGTCAGCCATACCTCAGCACTGTCGCATCCATAATACGATTTACGAAAACGTCTATACATATCGTAAAGTATGGCGTATTTATTTTCTGCAAAGTCCAAATTCATGTCATCGTACGGATAACACTCTTAATTCAGATAGAGCTTCGCGTTGATCAATTTGCAGTCATCGAAACGAGTTATACTTTCCGACATGACATTCTTTCGACCAGTCTGCAGCACAAAGATAATGAATAGAAGTTTCTCCAAATTAGTAGCAGTTTTGACGGTTCACTGGTGTTTGGTCGTGCTTTGCGGTAGAGAAAATTCATACAGATCCCACGAGCAGAAACTCAGCACATACTCAGGTATCGTCTGTTCTCCAAAGTTTTCAGGATGGAAAGTTTATTGATATCGTTCAAGATTACGTGAGGCATTCGCTATTATATCTTGAATAACTCAATCTTAGGATCCAGCGCTAAAGATCCTAGTAGACTGTTGTTGTCGCTGCGCGATCGTAATAGAATCAATTCGTGCCGCGTCTTAATCACTATACGCTTGTAATCTTCACAGAATCCTAGCAACACGCTGAGTGGTACACAAACATTGAAATACCCGTCCGGCGAAATAGTGTCAGTCGTATCTCACGCGGCACTTTTCATGATAGCATTTTTATCTGAAGATATCGATACATAGTTTTTGAGCGTTGAAGTTATTCCCACGTTTCTGTTACGATCAATCTCCACACCATCCAGTTCATAACGGATCTCGTCAAACATGAATGAAATGCAATTATATCCCAATGTTACAGTCGCACCATCGACTGCAACTTGTTTCATCACCTTCCGCTTGACATAGAGATAACTCTCGCATGGTAATATGTATAAATCCTGCTGCTGTATGGGTATTCGTATCTCGTTGTTATATCTAAATGTTGTGTTAGCATATGGGTTGTACGTACGTGTCTCAATCTTGACGATTCGTTCGTCAAA